AGAGACAAACGAAAATTTATTTTAAAAACACAAATATTTCTTTTATTTGAGTCTCTAATTAATAAAAAGCGACGAAACACCATTTTAAAGTGCATTTTTATTCAATTAATATAATAATAAATCATATGTAGCCCAAAAAGTAGCCAAAGCGCCAAATGATATTTTTTACGTCAAACAAAAAAAAGTAGCCACATTTGGCCCAATGTAGCCAAATCTTGCAACGTTGGAAGAAATACTAAATAAAGCTGGAGTTGTGAATCAAAGGATTATAGACCCAAGTGCGGGGAAAAAGAGGCAAAGGACAAAAGATAAAGAAGTGAAAAAGGTTGAAAAATTACGGGTCCATATTTGCTTAACAGAAGATCTATTTAACGTTTCTCACTACTACATCTTTTGTCCTTTCTCATCTTTCCCCCCTTTTCCCAAATTTGGGTCTATAATCCTTTGAGTCACAACTCCAGCTTTATTTAGTAATCCTTCCTCATTCACAAATCTCCAAATATTTGAAAATATTTTCTTTCCACTCAAACATAAAATATGAATAAAGGTTTACGGCTTTGTGAAACTTCTTTTTTGAGTTTATGCCGTTAAAATAAATAAATAATAATAAATTAAAACATTTGTCGGTTTCGTTTACACGTTCATTGGGCCGCATGCGGCCTGCGGCCTGCGGGTTGGACACCCCTGGTCTAAAGAGATGTGTATGATACGATTTAATAGAAAATTTATTTATTTAAAAATATTATAAAATACTTTGAGAAACAGTTACCAGAATACAATAATTGTGATTTATTGATAAGAAATTATAAATAAATTAAATCAATATTTTTCAGACTTCTTTAAATGCTCCTGAAATAATTCGATACCTTACAAGTTTAATTGAAATGACATTCTTTTTTCATACGAACTAATTCATTTTATTTTATAAAATATTAATAGTCTAAATATTAAAGAAACGGCAAATAATTTAATTAAATTATTACTGTTGATGCTCTGTTGCTGCTTTTACTTATAAACAGGAAAATAAGAATTCAATATTTATCTACATTATCAAATTATTCGGTAAATAGAATGTAAAAATAATGCTAAAAACATATCTAAAAGCGATAGCAGCAGTCCACTTCCTCTAAAGGTAAGAGGAACGAAGGTCTCTACCTATCAAACAATGGAATCTTCCCGACATCTAATATTAGTAAAACATATAAAATGAATTAATAATTCCTTTAAAACATTTGCTCATTTTAATTTTAAAATATATTCAAATTTCATTCTAAAATAAGACAGAACAATCAATACCTACATAAAGACGTGATCGATGTTTAGTAGTAACCTATACCTAAGTGTATACACTTCAAATTTAAAATGTTTACTCGTTTTAATTTCCTAAATTCGCACTTTACACGTAGATTTTTATTTAAAACCCAATCGAGCAGTAAATATATTATAAACAGTGTATAATATTTAAAAATCGGTTTAATGTATCGGAAAATGGAATCACTTCCGGTTTAATGCCCGAACAAAACATTCACCTCGACAAGGATGTTTTCGGTTTAGTTTGTGTGAGTGACCGTGCTGCTAGACACGTTTCGTTTATTTCAATGCCGATTATAAGGCTGTCAGCTCAGAATAGGACGATTGAAGGACACCAACACACATTCAAGGTTGTTCGTTGGTGCTTCCAAGGTCGAAACGCCGACCGAGGTCAATGGAAGGTGAACAGCCGACGTTTACCAAACCAACTAATAACGATGTGTCCTTTACTCGATGACGAAAACGTGAAATGTTGCACGCTTCTGTCCGCTTTATTTGCGAAGCGTGTACGTGTGACAGGTGTGAATGGCGTATTATTTTGTTTATCGTCGTTACAACTCTCCAACCTCTACCTCTTCGCGGAATGAGATATTTCCGCTTCGATTTTCTAAGTTGCTAAGGTAACAATGTAAATAATAAACTACACGTGCTGTTTTTTATTTACATGCTTCCTATTTCGAAATTATTTATTCATTTTTTAAAGATAAATAGGCCATAGGTAATTTTATATATATTATAAAAGTATTGACAACTGTTTATTCGATTGGAAATGTTGTGCTTGTTTTAATGGGATATATTCTTATTTTTATGGTGAGAAAAATATAAAATTTGGGGGATCTTAAAGCTACTTAATTGTATGGAAAACGAGAAATAATGTTAATTAAATCGATTTTAATTACAGTTAGCATCGATATTATCAAAATGAATTAAAATCTGTTTTTAGATTTAATTAATATATTTTCATTTGAGCCTGTCGATTTTCTTAATATTAATATTATCGAATGCCGATGTTAATTTAATATTTAGAAAGAAAACGAGATGTGTGATTTTCCTCGTGGAACTGTAGACCTATATTCGCGGCAGCATTTCCTGAATGGGAATGGAAAGTGAAGTTGATGACATCGTAACCGTAACAACTTTCACTCGGACTGACCGACCTTGCGACGACAACCCCATAACGCACGAGGTGAGTGACCTAAAGTATCAGGTCGTTCACCGTTGCAACGGTGTCAACAACCGTCGATGTCTTTAACCTCAGCGGTAGGGCCGCGAGATATCTTTCCTATCCCCGGTGTGGCCAATGACACCGGGATTGTTCCATTCTTTAGCGTGGGTGATAAATGGAAACCGTCCTTTCTTCACTTATTTCCCCTCCGATCTTCCTATTGGGTGTGCCGATTGGTTGCTTGTGACGTAACAGGAGAATCCATTCTCCGTTCGATCTGGGGAGATTTTTATCCTCTAGCTTCCCTTAAATAGAATCGTCCTAATTTACTAATATCTTATTTTCATTACTATTATATACAATTGTTTAGCCTGTATCACTTTCATCATCATCACTTCTGTTAATTAATTGCAGCATACTGAATTATAAACATAAAAATACAAGTATAAAATTGTTAAATTATTATTTTAACAATTATATTTGCACTACAAATTAGAAAAAAACATTTTCATTATTATTATTTTTATATTAAAATATATAATAAAATGTAATGTGGGTTTACTTTTTGTTTTAAAAGCGCGTTTTACAGGTGATCGATAGAGAACAATACTGTTAAATGCGTAACAGTACAGGCCTACTGTATGTCAGTATATCCGTTTTGATATTTTTTACAATTAAATTTGATAATAATTTGTTATCTAAATTTTTATCGACATTTTTTAGCTAGAATATATAAAAATTATTGCACACTTGAAAATAATTATGCAGGTAATGAAACAAAAAAATTTTTTAAATTATGTTACATTTGTATGAAAATTCCGGAAATATATTTTAAAATTTAAATAGCATAAAATTCGTTTTTTAAATTTAATCAAAATTAACTCGAAAATTTGACTTGAATCGATCTTATAAAATTGTCCCTGCTTTTTTTTTCTTCAACTATCCCTCAATGAATTAAACAGGTCAATTGAAGGATCCGGGATTGAATCTGGACGGATAAAAAATCCCAGGAATTTTTCAGGGGTCCGTACCGATATGTTTGCTCCCTCCCTCACCATCCTACCTCCTCATTGTGGGACTGGCCAAACTTACGATGATCTTGTAATGGCCCTCTTGATGTCCACGGGGCGAAAAACGTTTAATAAATAAGTAAACAAACAAAAGTTTAAATGCAACCAAATTCACATGCGGGAAAAATTTCCGTAAAAAAAATTAGTACCAAAACTCCCACTGTGGCACTTCGTGGGCTGTAAGCAATGTAAAATCAATTTCATTTGTGAGGGCATATGAAAGAACATATTGCAAATTTGGCAGTTTTAAAAGACAATATACACTGCATATGAGAAGCATTAGAGGATCAGTTAGGGTTGGTCGTTGAACACACTGTTCACTTTGGTTTTGTCTTCAAAATGGGGTCCGCATTGAACAGTATCTGCTGCATCTCCAATGTCTCTGTACAGCATGAATGTCTTGTAAAATAAAATGTTTGTTGCTTGCAGTACCAAAAGTGGTATTGTGGCAACTTTTAGTACTAATTCTTTTTTATGGTAATGTCCTAAAATGGTTATTTTAGGACCATACAAATGCAAATTAGGTTGATTGGACTACTAAACATCTCTATAGATACCGTTGAATAGGAGTATTATATCCAGATTACATGGTATGTAAAATTAAATGCATACATACAATTAAAAATTATTCATTTTTCATTCAAAAAGTTTAAATATGTACCATTAAGTTTTACTACTGTGTTCCAATGACCTATAATAATGAAATACTCAAGTAATAACATGGATAGTGAATAGATTTTTACACCATATATTCAAAATTATGTAATATTTTTTTCTTGTTTTTGTAAATTTCAGCTTTATTAATTTTATAATCAGTACAGGAAGGCAACAATGTGTCCATGAGCAAAATTTTAATGACCTAACACAGTAGTTTAAAATTTTGTTATGCTGAAATTGAATTTAAAAAATTAAACATTGCATTTCTATTCTATTCTATATGCATTTCATATTCTTGCATTCAACATAATTACAGATGATTAAAAACTCATATTTTTCTCATAACATATCTTTCTGATTTCATAACTTTGATTATTGACTTCTCACAGGCACAATATTAATAATTATCAAAACAATCCATGATAATAGTGGCAAAATTTGTAATGTAGAAAACTTTTTAATTATTTTTCTGACCAAAAAAAACTGATCAATGACATATTGAAATTTAACAAATGTAAAATATATATACATGATTAAAAAACATTGTATGTTTACATCAAAAGAATTCATTTTTAATATGTTATTCAATGTATGGAATTAAATTTTACCTAATTTAAATAATGACAATACACAAAATTTAAAAAATATACTTTTATTTGTATATACAGAAATATAGGAATAATTAGTTTTAAAAACTTTCATTATATCAGAGATTAAAAATAAATACACAATATTTAATTTTTTGAATTAAAAATTACACATTATAAAAAATAATCTATTTTATTTATATACCATAGATACTTTTTTGTTTGAAAAAACGCATTTTTGAAGTTGACTAATAAAGCTTATTCATTCTTAGATATATAAACATATTTTTAAATTTTAAATAAATATATTCTGACATGCCTATTATAAAGTGGATACATAAATATAAGGACAAACCAAATAAACTAACAATTATGGTCAATAAAAAGTTTTAATTCATGCAAGTTCTTTCATTTCGAGTTTTTCAAACATACAGTACCATACAAAGAAGTTTAGATTTTATTGTGATGATGCCTTTCCAGATATGGGCGAATGTTTATTTTGAAAAAGTATATCACAAGTGTATTTTCTGAATGTATCCTGCATATCACTGAGTTCACAATTGGCATCCAGAATCTAAAAAACATTAAATTTAATAACTTTATAAATAATATTTAATGTAAAATTGAATTCTATGTAATTATTACCAGCACTGGAGCGANTTAAAAACTTTATAACATTAAATTTAATAACTTTATAAATAATATTTAATGTAAAATTGAATTCTATGTAATTATTACCAGCACTGGAGCAGGAACCACAAAATCACTTTTTGTTGTTAGCCATTTTTCATGTAGATCATGAAGACTCTTTAAATAATCCTTTTAATAAAAATATGTTAAAAGTTAAAAACTTTATAACATTACATCTCAATAATTTTCAAATTAAACACTTATAGTAAATTACAGTAAGACCCCGCTTAATGCTGCCTTGATATAACGTGGTCTGCTCAAAGCCTAAAAAAAGCTCAAAATTTATGCCGATTCAAATTATCCTGACATTTCATTGATTCGTATATAGTGGAAATGTATGTGAGTTTGCAGTAAATAATGGTGGTTATATGAATGATCAAGATTCATATATAATACGATTATTCCCAAACAGGAACCAATCAGCAAAAGTAGCAATTTGTTGTAGCGCTGTACTTTCTTTAAATCTATGCTTGTTTGGTGCAATTTTGGAAAAAATATATCATCATGGTTGCCATAGGCAATATCAAGTTTGCTTAACAAGAATTAACTGATAACTGCATGAATGGAGTGTGAAAGAAGTTATGGCTGGAGGTATCGAAAAATTCGCAACAAGAAGAGCCTATCGCTGTATCATTAGGTTGACAATTTGGAAAACCTAATCAATACAGCAGGACTAGAAGATATAGTCAAGCAGGATATTGAGGAATTACTGCAGGTTTCTAGTGAGAACCTTACCAATGACAACCTTCAAGAACTGGCAGAACAGCGAATTCATGTAGAAAATAGAAATTCTAAAAACAAAGCATCCAAAGAATTTCTCTACAGATTTCCTTGGTAAAAGTTTGGTAATGATAACCAAAATCGTTGATAAAATTGTAGCAAATGATCCAGATTTTGAAAGAACTGCAAAAGCAAGACGAGGCATTTTGGATGCGACCTCTTGCTATCGACATTTACTTAAGGAAAGAAATGAAACTACATGACTTTATCACCAAAAAAAGAAGAATTTCAGAAGCTTCATCACAAAAATGAACTTTACAATTCTGTGTTCATCTGTTTATGTGTTATTTAACATATATTGTTATGCAAATTAATATAAAAATAACTTAAAATTAAAGTAAAATCTGTTTATTTTTGGTTGCATGTTCCCTTTCCCTATTTACTCTATGTTAAAATGACCTTGTTTAATGCTATTTTGTTTAGCACTTTGTTGTCTAAGAACGTATCCCCCTGCATTAAGCGGGGGTCTTACTGTATTATTAAAATTTTGCAATTCTGTTATGGCTGTTACCAAATTTTTTTGTTTGTAAATATGCACTTTAGCACTTCTCAAGAAGTATTTTATAAACTAATTTATCATCACAAATAATACTAAAATACAGTTTATCATTAAAAAAAATCAACTTAGTACAGGTATGTTTATTTTTCCTAAAATCCTAATATGTTTACAAAACTATCATATATATATTATGAATTTGGAAATCATATCATCACAGATATTTCATGTCATAACTTTAATTACAATATTAAGTTGATTTTAATATGTAAAACTACCAGTATCTTGTATTAGGTAACAAAACAATTTTTAACTAGTACTTTTATTCGTTAATAGTTTTAAAACTTTTTTGTACAACTGGACAACTATCAAAAAAATAAAATGAAAGTCAATCTGCTTGTGAAAGTAACAAAAAATAATTTATTAGGAATGTTTTCAGCCTATTTAGATCAAACAGTATGACAAAAATGTTCCTAAATAAATTCTTACTTTTGGCTTGCTTAAGAAGATGTCTGAGTTTAATTTTACTTAATTATGGTGTCAAGTTTCATTCATTTCCAAGTCATTAACTATCAAAAGATTACTTTTTACTCATAAAATTGTAAAATTAAATAGAAAATAAACAAACAAACAAAAAAAGATATTATTGTTTTGTTTATTTTGCTGTTAATTTCAAAAAATGAAAATTAGAAGTAAAAAAAGTTAAGATATGTTAAATATTGTATATATAATTAAATTTAAGTAATTTTATATTATACTTTTTAGCATAGGTGTATTTTCTAACAAATCAATAAAAAGCAAAAAAGATACATTTTATGATAATGAATGATCTTAATGTAAAACTTCAGTTTTAAATGATTAGATGTTTATTATACAATTGAACATGACTGATACTGTATGCTGTATCTGATATTAAAATGTGGAAATTGTATTATCAAATGGTACTCTAGTTTGATGTTAACATTATTTTTTCTCAATCCTTAATCAAACATGCTTCTGGGATTTACTTTAGTGGATGTTATACACTATATTCGTTGATACTTTTAATACAACGGTAAATCAGTTAATGATTGTTAAAAACTTAAAAAACCAGAATATTTTCTAATAATGCAATGTTTTTGTTTTTTGACTTTCTCTGCCCTGACACTAAGAATTTTTTTTCATACCCATTTTGCCACTAGGGGTTTAGCCAGGCCCACAAATGCTCAGCCAGGTGGTGAGTTATGGGGCCAAAATAGATGGGACAGCTACCCCTGAAAATTCCAGTTTTTTGATTTGCCAGGATTCAATCCCAGATTCCTCAAAACAGTAAGGTCAATCAATGCCTTATCACCTCAGCCATCTGGATGGCAGTCACCTCTTTTATATATATTAACTTCATACTATATTAACTTCAACTAAAATATTTTAAGATGAACTGGACTTTACTTTCTCTATGTTATAGAAAATAACAGAGAATGGTGATTGATCAAATTTTTACCCCTCCCCCAGTTCTTTTTGCATTTCTTGATGTTTTGACATTCAAGGAGCCCAAAAGGATAAAAAAAAATCTTTACAAAATTCTGTATGTATGTGTTGGAGTCTATCTTGCAGGACTCCAACACAAACATATACCTCAGGACTAGATAAAGCAAAAATTTCTCAATATATATGACTGGCAAAGCTAAATGATCTAAGTACCAAAAAGTATTTTTGGGGGAAAAAAAAAAAGCTTTGTCCAACAGAGCAAACATTTCTATAAGCACAAAGTTCTTTAGAAAATATAAGGAAAGTGTTCAAAATGTTTTTTTTTTTTTGTCTAAATACAGTAGGTGACAGGACATTTCCAACTTTGTCTTATCAGGTGAGCTAATCTGGAATACATGAGTTTCCTGGTGGTTCTAAGTGCTCTACTCTACATCTACTTGAAGTGGAAAATGCGAAAGTAGCCAATATTCAACAACTTTGTCTTGTTTGTGACATAGTCCACATACTACAAATTAAGTTCAGTCATCATTCACTTAAAGTAGCATTGAAAAAGTCTGTTTTCTTCATCTATGAATTCTAGCTTAGCACAAATACCTTTCTTCTTGTTGTCTCTCAATCCACACATTCCAAATGAAAAGGAGTAACCCAACAGCTATATCAGGCAATTTCAGCTACTCAAAATTGTAGATGGCAGCAGACTAACTTGAATTGTGGTTAAAAGTGCAATGATTTTTTAGTAAACATCTTAGAGATATGATTTAAACATTTTACAAGTGTAAAGTTTTTTTTGTATTATAAATGCAACAATTATGGTTGAACACATAGATCAGCTAGTGTATGGAGAGCTTCTGCACATACCACAAACTTCATCTCTTGATGGTTATTAAAATAAAAACAAATTTTCACTTGAATCATTTTTGTGGGGGGGAAAACTATTTGTATATTTTAGCACTTACATCGTTTAACTTTTTCATTCCATATATTGTTTTCTGAATGCATTTAAATTATCATTTAAAAGAAAATTAACAGCATTTATTGGTATCAAATTGATTATAATTTATTTCTAAAGTTTAATAACCATCTATCTAAGACAAAAATCTAAATAAATCACAGACTATATTATTTATAATGATAAATTTATATCATTACAAAATGATATAAATTTAGTTTTAAAAGATTAAAGATTTTTGTTAAAAACTTAAGCTAAACTTCATATTTATGAATGAAGTTCACTCATTACATAAATATACTTAGCAAACTTAATTTCCTCTTAAGTTTTTAATACATTTCCAAGATTTAAAAAGGTATATTTATAATGCAAATTAAACTAAAAGTACACAAAACTTGAAATATTTAACATTCATTTCTACTACATTCTTATTCTGTGAGATGTTTTAAATAAATTTACATAATGAATATTTATTACAAACAATTTTTATCAAACAAACAAAATGAGTTTACAACTACTTTTCAAAATAATGGAATATTGAAATTATGAAAGCATGTTTGTTTTTTAAGTATTAACATTATATTATCTAATAAAGAATGCAAAAGATAGAATAAAGGAAATAAATAACTGACCTTTATTTTAATACTTTTTAAGATAAAAATGAAATTTATTCATTCTTTGGATTTTACATAAATTAAATTTAAACTTTGTGTAGGCATTTCAAAATCTTGTAATAATTTTTGAATTAATTTTTCAATATAATAAAATATATTTAATATTTTAGTTTTTAAGTAACCAATAATATTTTAACTGAAATTTGATTACAGTGGTACCTCAGGTTACGAACGCCCCAGCATACGAAATTTTCAGGATACGACATAAAATTCGAACATATTTTTGCTCCACGATACAAACAAAAACTCACCATACGACGTTACATTAGTTCGCATTTTTCATTTGTTTTTCTTACTACAGTTATTTTTTTTTATGTATTACTTGGCTTTAATTTGAGTATGTTTTTCGCGTTGGAACGAATTATTTGGTTTTACATGTAATCGTATCGGAAAAGATGATCCACCTTACGACATTTTCATGATACGATCTCAGTTTCGGAACGGATTAATTTCGTATCCTGAGGTACCACTGTATAAGTAATCGGTAGTGGACTATTCGATTGCAACCCAACTGTCCTCTCATAGCACCAAATCTTATCTCGTCTCCTACGAAAAATAGCAGCACAGCTTAACTACAAAATCGTAGAGGGTCTCAAAATTAGAACAAAACACTTTTAGTCCGGTTAAAATACTCAAAGGTTGGACGACTGGATATCATCAGAAAAAATGGGTGAAAGGAAACTGTGAGGCACCTCTGCATGACCTTCAGCGCTCAAGGCCAGACAGAGAATCAATAGTCGAGAGTAATATACTAAAAACATTATTTCAGCAAATTCTTTTTTATTTTTATGTATTTTTAGATGAGTTTCGTCAAATTTGTAGAATTGATAAAGACTCTACTTCATTTGGGTCAGTAAAATAATTATATAAAAACCTCGAAAATAAAATAATTTTTTTATGTTAACTTTTTTAAAACCGACATTTGTCATAAACATTAATAATATTCAGTGGCGTACCGTGGGTGTCAACCGCCCGGAGCGGAGGAAAATTTCGGCCCCCCTTATTTAGGTATTTCAATTTAAAAGACCAAAATTCAGTTTTGTCACAGAACAAGCAAGAAAAAATTCGGTGGTAGTGCAGCGACCTGTTTAAAATAGTTCTATTGGATATTAGTGGTGTATATGAATCGTACAAGCAAAAAAAAAGGTCAACAGGTTTCGCTGAAACTCCTCGAATGACAGTTACTAGTTCACCGGGCGAGCCGATTCCCGGACTGTCCGGATGATAGCACTATCGTAGGCGCGATGAAAATATAGATTAGGATGTTTCAAAATTTTACAAGATAATATTATTATTATTTATTGTGAAATTTTGCCGTCCCCTAAAAGGTAATTTTGCCGCCCCCTAAAGAGTGCCGCCCGGGCGGACCGCCCCTACCGCCCCCCTACGGTACGCCACTGATAATATTGATCCACTTGTTTCTAGCAGGGTAACGATGAATTTATAGACCGTGTTGCTAGATATTATTTTACAATATTAATAACACATAAATTTTAATATATACTGGTTGAAACAATTAGCAGAGCGTATGACTGGTTGTAACGTCTTAGCTGTAAGTACAATAAATGATAATATGACAAGAATTCGGCACGAATGCATGTCTTTTCATCTATTATTGTATATTTTATTGTATCTTACGTAACAATAACATGTGGCATTCAGGATCGTTCGTTGTAAACGATTTATATGCAACATCTCATGCTTCCCGAATTGTTTCGAGCACTGTATTTCTTTTAGTAAGTAAATAGTAAATAACTAAATACTGTAATTATATATTTAATTGCATTACGTAATTTATTAGTAATTTTCTTTAATACAATTTTTAAATGCTATCCAATTTAAATAGACATTTTTGAGATATTNTAAATATTGATCTTTGCATTCCATGTTTGAATCATACTGGTTTAAAAACCTGAGGAAGACTGGGGTATGGTCGAAAACGTTAGTTACCCATTAAAGTCTTGTTGTTACTGGACTCCTAAAGGTTCTAGAGTGTGATTTATACATTCTAGTAATTCTGTAAGAAGTTGTTCTAATTCATTTTTGTTAACTCGTCACTTTCTCAGTCCACATTAAGTCAAGTTTGTGGGATTCTACTATATTTGTATATATACTTTTTGTTTGGCGAGGCATTGACTCAATTAACTTACAACACTATTCCACAGTTAATTCCATTCCAAACTTGTGATATAGTTTGCTTTAACTCTGCAAAAACTGAATATCAGTGTTTGTATCATTTTTTTTCTCATAATGTTTTACAAATTTTCAATAGGATTAAGATCAGGAAAGTTTCCTAAACCCTAACCTAAAATGTTTATTCCATGTTTGCTGACTGATGTACAAGCTAGAGCCAGATCCTGTTGGAAAAGAATCACTACCACAAAACAAGCTTCTATTGAGAAAATAAGATAGTACTGTATTCAAAAATCTCCTGGTAGTTTTTTGACTTTATGGTTGTATTTAAAAAACAAGATGGTCAACACTAGATTCTCAAAAGCAATCCCATGTCAACACTTATGGAATGTTTTACTAACTGTAATAAAAAAAAAAAACTATTTTTGAAACTACACTCTGACTGATCTTTAACATTTTCACTATTTATAGTTGTGTTTCACATGTATCTCTGATTCTAATTACATGTTTGATAGCATTTGGCATATATTTCAGCAATATTTTTACAGCATATTAACTATGTTAAATACTCATTGTAAATAATATTTCCTTTAAAATGCTACAAACTAAAAAATAATAAGAATTTTAAACTTGACTGAACATTTCAGTTAATATTCTATTATTTTAAAACACATTAAGAATTATTCCATTATTTTTAAATACAGTAGTGTCTCGAAAACTCGGCACTCGATAACCCAGCCACACCCTGGCAGGGCAAAAAAATCCTTACTTAATTCATTTTCATTATAGACAGCTTTATGCCTCAAAGTATTTTTCTGAGGTCTGTCTTATCAGGTAAATTACTGTACACAGTGTATTCATTAATTTTCATTTTCACGCAGTAAAGGCTCTATGCCTTCATAAAGGACGTACTTTTCCTTTGTTTAAGGGTATTTGGGCAGTTTATTCTCTGTTATATTCTCAAGTAAACAATACATACAAGTACAGTACAGTATTTTCTGAGGAAACACTCGTACTTATTTTTTTTAACCCCATTCCCGATA